TAGGCACACATCCAGAACATCCTCAGCGTGATGTTATTGCAAAGTTTTAATTGTGCTACTAACATGTCGAGATATCACTTTATACCTTTACTTGGAAGTTTATTATAACTTTTTATAGGATTTCTTTATAAACTACACTGCCAATCAAAAGTTTAAGAACACCCTAATTTTTCCAGTTATTTATTGCAACTCAAGTTGTGAAAGTCCATTAAAGAGCTTGAAATGGTAAAAAGGTAAAAAACTGAACAGCCAGAGGTTAAAAAGATAAAAGATACAAAACACATGTCCAAGCTCTGTCAAAACTACCTCAGGAAAAAAGAACAAGATGATAAACTTGAAAACATGGAGTGTCCAGCACAGTGTCCAGACTTAAACTCCATCGAGCTGGTTTGGGATGAACTGGACAGAAGAGTGAAGCAACCTGCAAGTGCCACACATTTATGGGAACTTCTGCAACAGACTTGGGAAGAACTTTCTGAAGAATATTTGATTTCTATTGTAGAAAGAATGCCACGACTGTGTTTAGCTGTTATATCTGCCAAAGGTGAACACTTTGAGTCGCACTTTTTTGGCAAAATTTATTTTATAAAATCAGAGACCAGGAACCAATATTTCAGCTTGAAAGTCAAGTTCTAGTAATAACAATAGAACAGAGAAAACCAGACTGTTAACATCACATATGAACAGTTTTTCAGATAACTATAACATAAACAACAGAACATAAAAAGTTTACCAAACTCTCCATCTCCCTCCTCACTAAATCCATTGAATTTTTCATCCTTGGTGTCCCCTCTGAGCAACTCTGCGACCTCCGGAGGTAAACGGAGCACTGCTTCCTCTTCTGTGTAGCTGTTGTCAGACTCACATTCAGTTTCAGTTAGTTCAGCATCAGTTTCAGTTAGTTATTCCGTCCTTTCTGAATCCTGACAGGATGGTTTCTGTTGTCATTGAAGTATAGGCTTTGTCGATCCATCCAAAGACTTCCAGGAAATTAGCTTGGTGCACCCTCCTGGATGCTGTGAATCTTTGTTCTCCATACCCGCTATCCGCTACTCCCTCACAAGTTTCTCGCTCACTCCAAACTTTCTTTCTGCTGCTCGATTACTGTTTTCGGCTGAATATTTCACTACTTGAAGCAGGACGGCGACTTTTTTTGCAGGAGACATGCGCAGTAGAGAGTGAAGTGACAGTGGTACGGTAGTAGCAAATACTGACACACAAGCCTAGAGCCTCTCGCAGTTGTCAGTGTGAAAATTTTTATATATAAGTCGCACCGAAGTATAAGTGACAGGGAACACCCAAACCATGAAAAAAGTGTGACTTATAGTCTGAATAATATGATAGTTGTTGTAATTTGCACACCCCACTTTTAGAAGGGGTAGTAGGAGTAGGAGGAGTAAGAGTACAAACTGCAGTTGTAGTTGCAGTTGAAGATTATAGTATTACAGTAGTAGTAGTAGGAGGAGTAGCTGGTACTAGCATTAAGAGAAAATGTAGTGGTAGAATCGTAGTAGAATACCAATAAATAGAGCAAATCATACAGGAGTAGCATTGTACATCTCTCTCTCATATTAACTGTTGTTTCAAGTCACTGTTCCCATAGGTTTACACTGTTCAGCTGCGTATCTCCCACTAATGATGCAGTGTACCAGTCTTTTACTGCTGTTGTGTGCTAGGGGCGGTCAATGCACATGAAAAAGCTAGAGCTGTCTTCCACATGAAAAAGCTAGAGCTGTCTTCAAATGTTTTTTTATTATACACATTTTCCCCCTATCTGCAGGAAAAAGTGAAATGTCACGTTAGTTGGCCTTTTTCACCAATTATCTCTTCTTTATATCTGCGGAGAGCTCAGCGTGTGGTGGCATTTGAATCCCCCCCCTCTCTCTATAGTGGAGTGATTGTATGGTTCTGTACTGGGAGCAGAGCCTGCGGTTCAGAGCGGACGTATGTGACAGTCAGGCTACATGTGACACTGGGCACGTGCCATTCAGGAATATTCACACCACTCATGACGCCACTGTAGATATTTTTAGATCATTACGCTAAGAGAATCAAGTTAAGTCTCACAATGGGGAAATTTCACGGTTGTAAGGGAAAGGTACAAGAACATCAGCAGTTTGAATGTGGTGTTTGAGTGTAGGTGGTGGTCTGATGGAGCGGATTGGCTGCCGCTTGTCCGTCAGTCTGTCCCAGGGCAACTATGACTGGCAAGTGGATGAATAATGTATGGAATTGTAATGCAGCTTTGAGTGTCTGAAAAGGTTGTTTTATAAGACTAATGTGCTCTTATTATTAGATGATAGTTGATGAGGTATGCAATTAATCAAATTTTTTATTTGTTTGTAAAGCGTCTTTGAGTGTCCAAAAAAGCACTATATAAGTCAGATGTTTATTATTATTATTATTATTATTGTTATTAATTTTAATTGATCAAGATTGAGTAATATCTAATCATCAATTGTTTTTTTTTTTTTTTTTTTACAGAGGACTACAGGCAGCACATGATTTGTAGTTAACAGGAAGAAATTAAACCTTTTTGTGGGTTAAATGCCAGTAATTAAACTTTTTTTTTTTTTTATCTTCAGAATTTTTTATGAAAAAAATAAAAAATAAATCTTTGCTTTCAATAGGACAAAAGAAAATTGTGATTAACTAGTATAGTGCACAGCCTGTAATAAACTAACAATAAACAATAAAACAAACAAAGAAACAAACAAACAATAAAACTATTTTAACTGAGATCAAGAGTCGTTTCTAATCATCAGTGGTCTTTTTCACGGAGCCAATCCTCTGTCAGTAAAAGCAGATGATTTGTAGTTAACAGGAAGAAATTTTAATTTTTGTGTGTTGAATGCCAATAATTAAACATGTTTTTTTTTGTTTGTTTGTTTGTTTGTTGTGGAGGAAAACAACCTTTTCCTCTCGTGTTCGTTAGTTTGTGCTTAGATAAAAATTACACTTGAAACAGAAATAAAGTCCAGATAATTTACTTATTCCAATATTAGAAAGTCATACTTGTACAAGGAGTCTGTGCTGACATTCCCATGCAGAGACTCATTTTTTTACGCTTAAACAATGACTTTTATACGCAAACTATAGCGGAAGGCGACCGTGGTTTAGACTTAGTGTCTCTTTGTTGGTCCACGGTCCAATCAGGCTCCATCCGGGGTGTTATCTGGCTAACAAGTCATGACCTCATCCCTATCAGTAGTTCTTGTGCTATTTAGTCAGTTTGCTCTTAGATAGATTGGAATATCATGCATTTGTCTTGACATGTATGTATGAGTCTCACAGCTGTGATCAGAGCTCTTACCTTCAAATGCCCACGGTACAATAATGAACTATAGAAGTGATTATACAAAATGGCTAAGCCTAGTTATTCATCCAATATTATCTTCAGAATTTTTTTTTGCGGAAAAAAAAAATAAAATCTTTGTCTTCAATAGGACAAAATAAAATTGTGATTGATAACATTTGGGAGAAAAATAAGATGACAGGAAGATTTTTATGTTGTTAATTTGGAAAATCCTTACTCATATTTTTGTAGTGGAGTACATTTAAGGCAGTTTTGACCAATGGAGTCAGCAGCATTGACTTCACACCCCCCTCTCCGTCTATCCCTCCCTCCCTCTGCTGCTCTTAAACGTTTCCTGTCCCCTCCCCCAGAGCACGGGATTAATCCAACTGTAAGGATTACTCCACATTAAACCGCACAGACTGAGCGGGCGTTTCCATTCTGCAAATAATTAACACCAGTAACTTCTGAGCTTCTAACTCCAAGCTCTTGGGATGTTACTATTTTGTTACCACAGCGATGAACCAGGAAGTAGACTAGGTGTATAAGGGGTTTTGATACATTCTTGCTGTAGATTTTATGACTTGATTTCCTGTGTTTAAGGATGGGAGGAAACAGGACACAGATGGAGTGATGAGAGGCGACAATTAAAAAGACAGTTCTTTGCCCAGACAGACTGCAGACATTAAATAAGATGCAAATTTCATTATTAAGTGTAATTAAACTGACACAGTCTGTTTTTTTCTGTATTTGAGGAATACAGTTTTCTGGCATTGCTTTATATCGGCATATGTGACATTTCTAATATGCCAGTACTCCTTTTTATGCGTTTTTATTTGGCCATTTAGATCACATTTACTTAACTATAAATTTTTTTATTTCAGATGGTCACATACTAGAGATATGGTGATTTATTTTATTTTTTTTTTCAAGTAACTAAAGCAGCTTAAGGATTCATTGTTGTTTTGTGTCAATAATTGTGGAAAATCATGATTTTTCTTCACAATAATCATAACAATACAGTTTAATCTTGTGACGTCACTATCCATAACATTTTTTTGTCTTTCTCAGTTCTTCTTTTGCTCGTGGTTTTAGCTGCACAGTGTACAAAAATAGAAAAGAGATTTGCATTTGCAGAACTTAAAGATGGGCTTAACTTTTTGGAGCTTTCTATCTTGTTATAATGTTCCCTCATCAAAAACGCGCCAGAAACAACATTCCCGAAGAGCTTTTACATGTCATCCATGCATGTTGGAGTAATCTAACGATCTATCCTGGGCACTATTTGAGTTACCAGTACAATGCTGTCCAAAAACACCAACCACAAGCCTATGTCATTTTATATTCCTTACATTTTGTCCATAAATGTACAAAAGCATAATACAAAACAATACACTATGACTTCACAAACCTGACGTGATGTACAGTAGTTTCATTAGTGAAATTCACGCAATTATAATGTGGTATGATGTGATGTGTGTTCTGAAGGGGAGTGACGGAAGGGGGAATATGTTGTTATTGTGGTCTATAGCATTTTCAGAACAATAAAAGGTAACATGTTGATGAATGCAAGGAGAATAGCAGCTGCTGTGTGATAGGGGTTGTTCATTTTAATAGTAAAGGCACTGGAATGCTCCCAAAAAGTCAGAAAAAGTACTCTGAAACTTGACTATCCTAATAAATGTTTGTGTCTTTCTCCTGACAGTTGAGAACGAGAGCCACTGTGACTTTGTGAAGCTGAGGGAGATGCTGATCCGGGTGAACATGGAGGACCTGAGGGAGCAGACTCACGCGCGGCACTACGAGCTCTACAGACGCTGCAAACTGGAGGAGATGGGCTTCAAGGACACTGACCCAGACAGCCAGCCATTCAGGTGAGAGACTTTACAAAGACACTGGCATACGAAGATCCCAATCAGAAGTCATAAACTGATTACTTTAGTCTTCACTTGTCTTAGTAAGTGGAATAAAAGCATCTGGCAGGAGGGATGCAATTTTTAAAGGGAATAATCAGTGAAGTGACAGTTAAAATAATCCATTATCTGGTCTAATCCAGGGTTAAAATCAGATACTAGTTGATACAAAACTAGATACTGTATTTTCCAGACTGTAAGTTGCTCCGCAGTATAAGTCGCACCAGCCAAAAATGCACAATGAAGAAGAAAAAATATATATAAGTCACACTGGACTATAAATCGCACTTTTTGGGGAAATGTAAAATCAGAGACCAGGAACCGACATTTCATCTTGAAAGGCAAGTTATAATAATAACAACAGAATATGTTAACTGTTGATATGTTAGCGTAACATATGAACAGTTATTCAGATAATTATGGCATAAACAACAGAACATAAGTTTACCAAACTCACGATCTCACTCTAAATCACTAAATCCGTTCTTCCATCCTCGGTGTTACTTCTGCGTGACCTCCGGAGATAAACCATAGATCCATGATGTAAACAGCGCACCGCTTCCTCTTGTGTGTAGCTGTCGTCAGACTCAGCATCAGTTCCAGTTAGAATTATTCTGGCCTTTTTGAATCCCGACAGGATGGTTTTGATTGTCATTGAAGTTCAGGCTTTGTCGATTCATCCAGTGACTTCCAGGAAGGTTACATGGTGCACCCGCCCGGTTGCCATGAAGCTGTGTTCTCCATCCCCACTTTCTGCCAATCAGTTTCTCGCTCACTCCAAACTTTCTTTCTGCTGCTCGATTACTGTTTTCAGCTTCATATTTCACTAATTGCAGTGAGACAGCGGCTATTTCTACAGGAGGCATGTTCAGTAGAGTGCGAAGTGACAGGAGTAATAGTAGTCGAAGGAAACACTAAAACCATGAAAAATATGGTACTCATTTGAGCAGATATTGACACTAAGAAAGTCACATTCTCAGGGCAGAAAAGAACTGTTCCTGAATAGCTTTAGAGTTATCTTGAGCTGTATCAGAACAAATATAAGAGCACATAGCATACTCCCATGGACCATGAAACCTACCTGTACCACTGAGGGATTACACAGATATAAAAATCACATGGGAATATAAAGTACATTTAAATATACAAGCTTTAAATGTGTAATCAATTCCTGTTTTACATCTTTGTCTCCATGAAACTGTTTAAGACTAGTCCTCTAATATATTATACAAATTATACATGTTGTATCTGTAGCACTTTTTGAGTTTTTGCACTATATATATTTTTATACTATGTATCTTTTTTTTTTATTTATATCATGTATTATATCTTATCTTAAATAGCTTGTAACTAAAATCTGTTCAGCCTACATGTCCCATCATGCACCAGGGGACTGTGGGCAAGCAATGAACATGTGACCTACACCTATGACTTTAAATCTGCACTGTGATATCCATCTCGAGTTTGCCCTGATGAAGGCCGAAACACACTGGCGTGATTTTAACTTTATCTGCTATGTGGTATTAAAGGCTTTTAATTATTTTGTACTTTTGGGTGCCTCAGTTTTTTCAATTTAATAATCAATGAAGTGACTATTAAAATAATCCATTATCTGGTTTAAACTTAGGTGAAAATCAAATCAATACAAGTCGATAATAAAACTAGTATCTTGAGCAGTATCAGAACAAAAAGAAAAGCACATAGAACAGTATACGCCCATGGACCATGAAATCTACCTGGACACACATATAAGACCGCATGGGAATATAAAGAAAGTACATAGAGTATCAGTGCCAATCTTTAAAAAACTACACATAGTTAAAGCCAAAGTATTGATATGGATAGAACTGAAAAAGCTGAACTGGTAAAACTTAAGAAATTACACCTTTATTTGCACATTGGACACCTGTATTTACAAAGCTACGCCTGATTGTACACTGACGTATTCTGTATACCAATCTACCTGCGTTTATATCAACAAAAAGTCTCATTGCTGGTTTCTGTTTGCTTTTTGCAGCCTGCAGGAGACGTACGAGGCCAAGAGGAAAGAGTTTCTGGGTGATCTGCAGCGCAAAGAGGAGGAGATGAGGCAAATGTTCGTCAACAAAGTCAAAGAGACGGAGGCAGAGCTCAAAGAGAAGGAGAGAGAGGTCAGTCTGTCTGTCGGCAAATCAGCCTTTTCACACAAATAATAGCGAACATACTGGCTGTCTGAGTGTAATGACTATACCAGGAATGTAGCAAGCCTAAACTAGGGCTAAGACCTTAAAGATGGAGTATTATGCTTTTTTTTAAAGCTTTCTACTATGTTAAAACGGAGTTCCCTCATTCAAAACATGCCTGAAGAGGTCTTAAATGTCACCCATGCATATCTCAGTAATTTAGCAATCTCTTCCGTGTACTATTCAGATCCTCTTTACGTTTTGCTGTAAGATTTTGTATGTAACCCATGCGCTCATATGACAATTCTCCATAAATATACAATAACATGATACAAAACTGTACACAACAATTTGACAAACATGATGCAATGTGCAGTAGTTTCATTGTGTTGTGGTAGCGCTCTAAAGGGGGAACGATGTAGCTCAGTGAGCAAAGGGGCGGGAGGTGTCCAGAACAAAACTTATTAAACATGTTAATACGGTCTTTTACACATAGCATTTTCAAAACAGTAAAAGATTACACGGTGATCTAAATATGTTATGTGTTAGTTGGTACCCCATAGAAATAAAATATCCCATTAATGTATAAATAATACCACATACTAGAACTGTGCAGCACCAGTGTACCACAGTTTATCAATGTAGTATTTTAATCCTTGTCTTCCGATTTTTACTTAAATTGAGGGCCTGTTTACTCGAGAATACTTGAAGGTAAAAACAACAAAATATTTTAACGGAAGTGCCTTTCGTTTTGATGGTGGTGGCGTGGACGACAGGGCTTAAAAACGCAAAAATCTGAAACCACCCTCCAGAGTGGAAAAGTTGAATACGCTCCGCCGTAGTGTTTCCGTCTACGCTGCCCAAGACACAAACCTCTAGTCAGATCTGTTCACGTCGCGTACATGTTTACATCACATACATCACCATCTAGCGTCACCACCGAGCCGCCTGGCATGCATACCCAATCGAATTCCACACACTTTTGCGTCACACGCAGATTTCCTCCTGAAAACGTTTGTCTAAACATGGAATAAAAAGTGAAGATGCGACGCCACTTTTGCGTCTTCTGTTCAGACCGTCATATAAATGTAGCCTTAAAGATGTGCTCCGTAACCTTTCTTGTGAAGGATCTGCCACCTGGGTATCTTCATGGACATGTAATTGCTTTGCCAAGAATGTTCCACAGTATGGCATTTAGCTCATCCATCTATCCAAACATAGTGCACGTTTAATGAAAAGTATAAGGGCAGATTACACAGATAGAAGGCCACGTGATTTAATGTTGATTGAGTATCTAGTATCTATTCCTTAGTATCGTAATCAAGTTAAGTTTGACATTCTTGCATCGTGACAACTCCTGATACCTTGACGCCACATTTGTTGAGGCGTTTTCCTGTTCCAACATCTTAACACTATCACTTTGTCCATCACAGCTCCATGACAAGTTCGAGCAGCTGAAGCGCATGCACCAGGAGGAGAAGAGGAAGGTGGAGGAGAAGAGGCGCGACCTGGAGGAGGAGATGAACGCTTTTAACCGAAAGAAAGTTGCCGCGGAAACCCTGTCCTTATCCCAGCCGCTCAAGAAGGACAAGGACAAGAAAAAGTAAGTTCAGACATTCAGTGTTTAAAACGTGAACTTAAACCAGAGGTGGGTAGAGGGACACCATAGGAACATATATAAATGTCTAATGTAGTTATAGTCATCTAACTGTCCATCCAAGTTGATTTTATATTTGTCATTCTTTTTAGAAACTTGTGTTGGACTTGGTCAAGTATGATTAGTAAAAAGCAGACATCCAATTGATTCAAAAACTTCAAAAAAGAAAATATTTAAAGGGACAGTTTGGAATTTTGGACATAGAGCCTCAGAGTGTTGGAGACGTGTGGAGACACTTTATTAAATATTCCATCCAGTCCTTGTATTTGCAGAGGTCGCTGGTGCTAGGCTAGTGCATGTCAATGGCCATAGTTAGCCTGCCACTAAAAACAGTCTTACCCACTCCACAAAACCACCGAAACAAATCTATTATTACGTCAGACTGTTGATATAAATGTTTGTGTTGATAGAATAATGTTTGAAATAAAACTAACCTTGCATTGCATGAGTCGTCGCATGTTGAGGGACTATTTTCTCATATATCAGTCCGCCGCTGCCAAGTTTTCTATCAGGAAGTACAACTCGCTGTTGCTGCTCAGATATAAATCCTTCAAATGCAAGATTGATTTCACTTCTAAAATTATTCTATCAACACAGACATTCACATCGACAGTCTGGTGTAATAACAGATTTGCTTCAGGTGTTTTGTGGAGTGTTTTTAGTGGCAGGCTAACTATGGCCATTGACATGCACTAGCCTAGCACCAGCGACCTCTGCAAATACAAGGACTGGATGGAATATTTAAAAAAGTGTCTCCACACGTCTCCAACACTCTGGCTCACTAGGAAATGAGGCCCTATGTCCAAAATTCTGAGTTGTCCCTTTAAAGGTCCTATATTACGCAAATCTAACACTTGTTATAATGTTATTAACTCATCAAAAACAGACCTGGAGTTGTTTGGTTTCATTCACATTTGAGTGAGTAATGCTTTATTATTAGTCTGTTTACATGTCCACAGTTCAATATGCTCTGTTTCACCTTGTTATGTCTTGAAGCTATACTTTTCAAGTAAGAGCTTTTTTAAACTTTTTGTTTAAAAAGAAATTCTGAAAGGGCTGAAATTATCCAAATGATTCTAATGAAGGTGTATGGGATTTAAAAAGACAGTGGAGCACTTTCTGTATTACCACATGTCATCACAAGGTGGAACAGAGTCTTTTCTGTTGGAGAGAAGAAATAATAATAAGGAGAAAGCCTAAATATGCAGGATTTCTGTGTTAAACAAGTGTGAATGAAACAAAACAGAACTCCAGGTTTTGATGATGAAACAACATTATAGCAGATCAGAAAACGGCATCATATGGGCCATTTAAATACAGTTCTTCATGCAAATAGCTGTGGGCAAAGCATCTAATCATTATAATAATTAATAGGGATGTAGCAATATCCAAATCTCTCGATACGATATTATCACAATATGCATCTCATGGTAGGATATTTATTGTGATATTTTGAAGAGGCTAATATAATTGTAGATGGGACTCTTTATAGCTTTTAAAATACTTTGACAAGATTTTGGTGTGAATTATTTCCGTCATAATCTCAAGAATTCAAGTAAAAAAACATATTTCTTCATGTTGTCTGCACTGAAATGAATCATGGGATATGTAGTTCCCTATGTTCATAAGTTGCCGCTACTGTAAAACAGTGTGTTTAAGCAAAGGATTTTGTAATTCGATATATTGTGACAGCCCACGATATTATTGTGAGACTTTTGACGATACGATGTCACGATATTTCGGTTATTGTTACATCCCCAATAATTAAATATATAAACATTTTCTGATTTGTGGATTTGTGTAGTGTAATATTTGCTTTATGGACGTATGTATGCAAAAAAAATGCTTATAAAGAAATCATATTTATAGATATTTTTATAATAATACCATAAAACAGGCCATATTTTAAACTGCATTTAATCATCCATTGCTACCCACCTCTGGATAGACTCTTTCCTTTGACTTCCTGTAGTCCTCCTTTTGTTCTGCTTAAATAAATGCTATTGGTAATGAGTTAATTGAGAGACTAATTAAATGCGCTGCTGCAGACCTATCTTCAGTGTCCACCTGCGACTGAGCCAGGGTCTGCCAAAGGAAATTAACTGCTCTATTGTTCTAAGCACGTCCTGTCCTTTCACTTACTTTCCAATGATTCAGGAAGTACACAGCGTTGCTCACCATAGAGACAGCGTGGACAAAAGGGTAGCAATAGCTCTCCTAATTCATTCAAGCTTTATTAAGAACGCAAGTCCAAGTACATGATCCACTATATAATTTCGTTTTGGGAGAATGTCAATTTCAGACAATAGCAGCACAAAACAACAACAAAAAAGTAGCATAATTTTTTATTTTTAAGTAAATGCACCTCTTTGAATTTATATTAAACAAAAAGTTCACAAAAAATTTAACAAGAAAACACATTAAACCTAATTACACCATATTAAATCTATCTAGGAACTTTTAGATCTTAGTTTTTTTTTTATTTTTACAATCACACAACTGACAATTAACTGATTAATTTCACAATAAATAAATAAATAATATAATTCCTAACCTCCACCATTTATTTATTTAAGGCAAAGTAATGTTTTTCCAATGTTTAAACACTGAACATATTGAATCATACCATTCATAATCTACTGAGGTGACTTTCATAGAGGAGTTCTGGCGCCATCTTGTGGTTAAATCTCAGCTCTGCGCCTTTTTGCTTCTCGGAAAAAGTAAACTTTCATTTTAAACACACAGTTTGCATCTCCATCTTTTACTTAATCAACTACATCTACTAAAATGTAGTTGTGATATTCTCCTTACTTATCCTTTTCATGCTTCAAACCGCTGCTTTCCTTCTTTAATTTATAATTTTCGTATTTTGTCCTGTATTTGTCATTCATTCATTTTAATTTTGTTTGTATTTTTTCAGTTAATTTATGGCTGCCGTTCACCTTTCCCACACACGGACACGGATCTGTACTCCATCACCATAGAAACAGCAACACCTTTTTTTCTGTTTTTGAATGATATTTTTGTTTTATTTTATTTGTAATTTTTATTTGGTTAACATTCCATCATTGTGCACATGGACCAAAGAGGATGATGAAGATTCCACCTTCATGGCCATCTCATGTCTTAAGTTTCAGCATCTTTTGGACACTTTTGGACATATACTATTTTTATGCTGTTATTTGTTTTTTGTTTTGTTTTTTTTCCCCTTTGACCACCACAAACATGCAAAACTAATGTATTTCTTATATTTTCCTTTGTCACTGTATTCACTCCTGGGCATAGCATTTGAAATGAAGAATGGATTGTTTGGACTTAAAGGTGCACAAGCATAACTTTTCTACTTATGTGTAGGCCAGCAGCTTGTGTCCGTGTTATTACTATGGCCGGAATATTACATAGTGTGGCATTAAAGTTTTCTAGTATATAGCAGTGAAGCTCAACAGTGGCAGCCTGCTCCAATTCAAGAAGTAAATTTTATATTAATTTTTCTCAGACTGTTTGAAAAATTCTAATATTAAGAATCAGCTACGTGGTAATTAATATCCATAACGTGGTTGCCCCAAAAATGCAGTTTAAAACACAATTTTCCAAAATGCTTTAATAACTTTACAATTTATAAAGTTTCAGAAACCAGTTTAAATGAAGAAGAAAAAAAAATAAATTATAGGTCTTGTGATTATTAGTCACCGCAGAGCTGATTAGCCCTGAGCAAGCTTCTTCTTCTTTTTTTTTGGGAAAGTCTGAGAAAAATTAATGGGAAATTTAGTTCCAGAAATGGGGGGTATATAAAATAATAAAATAAAAATAATGTAATAGGCATAAAATGGATTGAAAATAAGATTCATTCTTACTGTGAGGGGTTGCCTTTCCACAGTTCTGACCTGTTACTTCTCCACAGACATAGACATCCTTAATGCCATGCTATGGAGCATTCCAGGTTAAACAATGGCATCATCGTGGAGACCAGCAGGTGATGTACTCTCCTGGAAAAGTGATAGTGCTCTTTTTTTGTAATATGTGATTTCTTTTTTTGAAATAATTTGGGTTAAAATTTAAAAAGTTATTATTTTCAAATGCTATTACCAACCTATTTTTGTAAACCTTACTCTATGCAGTTCTTGTATGAACCGAACCCAAACGCGTTAAAAGCAATAAAACAGAGTACCAGTATACTGTAGATATTATAGTACATATACGTTGGTACTGACATTGTACTCTTATGCAATACTCTGGTGCTGTTTTTGTAATAACTCCTTACATGTTTGTGAATATTTTTAGAGCTTTCCTAGCTTTGTATGCAAAATGTCTTAATATTTGGGTAATATAAGAAGCACATATGACATTGGTGTACATTGTCGTTTGATAAGTATATTGTTATAATCGTGTGGGACCATTTTGGACACACTCAACATGAAGCCAGTATGAAAAAATACAATAAAAATAAAACCAGGAAGCCATATTTGAGTAGATCTAAGACGAGAGCAGCTGTATTTACTGTTACCGATGGAAATAAATGCCCCTGTTTGACGTGTGTGCAGTTGTCGATGATATTTGGAGGACACTTTTCACTCACACGAAGACAACAGAGCTGTCAGGAACACATGTGAGAAAAACAGCTGCTGAAGAGGAAGAGCGAGAAAGATAGAGGGGGAGAGTGAAAGATGGAGGGAGCGGGGGCAGACAGATTGAGAGAACTTCCTGTTGATGTGAGAAAAACAGGTTTTACTTTAAAATAGTTGTTGCTACTGTGTAAACATTGAGAAACATGAGCAGAATAGAAATGAGCCACTGCACTTTTTCAAATCAAAAAAAGGATTATTTCACTACAGTCTTCTAAGGTCTGTACAAATGGAAAATGACAGCTGTAAGTTATATTCCAATCTAGATTCTTGACAGTTAGATTAAAATTTTTGTGAACTTTAACATAATTTATAACGTCACTGTGACTACAATCCGTTTCCAGGAAAGAAAAAGGGAAGAGGCCCGAGCACACGCGTCATGTGACTTAACCACCAAGTTACCACATGTTTTTCAAATCATAAACCACTTTGTTGTTGTTTTTGGAGACTAAATTGAGCAATAGTAGATGTGAACCCTCCTCATTCTGTGTGTGTGCAGAGAAAAGCCAACAGTCAATACTGGACTCACCTCCAGGTCCAAGTATGGCTCTGGTCTACACATCTATCTCTAGTCTCAGCTGGTTCATCTGCACTCAGTCTTATGTCCATCAGTTTAGTGTGTATGTGAGGCTGTTTGAAAGTGGGGTTGGATGGTTGTGAGGTAGTGTTGTGTGTAGTTTCTGCAAGTCACCAGTAAAATACTGCACATGGTTGCCTGGCCAGACAAGACCAAACACTGATGTATGAACAGAGTGTAGGACAGGCAGTACTAGAACTACTGATTATTCAGTTCAGAAGGGAACAACCAAAACCACAATGTGGCTCACTAATTTAATAAGTACTTAATGATTAAAATTCAAATTTTTCACCCAGTTCATTCTTAAAATGATTAAATTTCTATTATACAGTCATACTGTCATTACTATCCCATCCTCCATCTGTCCCATGACTTGACCTGGACCCTCTCCAGGCTCCTCATGTGTTCAGATGGTGTGATCATGTGGAATAAACCAGAAAGCACCATTTTGACTTTTTAAGTCTCAGCTTTATTGTTTTTTTCATGGAAACAAAGAATAGCTGCCTTTGTATTGGAAGAAACATGTTGAAGACAAAGTAAACTGACGAGTGGAGCAACAGTTTGGAACAGTAACCAGTTCACGCTGAGGTCAAGCAGAAAATTACATCAAATGTCTTTAGAGTTTGGAGTGAAGACCTTCAACAGAGACAACACAAATGCAGTTTCACTGATCATATTGTGTTTCCATCGTTTTCTTTTTAAAAGCAAAGATACAGATTGTGCTAAATAAAAGCAGATTAAATTAAATGTCCCCTTTATGGGAACAGACATAACATGTTTTAACTTAAGTTTTAAATATTGTTAATGCAGGAATACTAAACACTAGGATCTAAGAGTGTGTTCTACCGATGCTGATCATGAAGATGTGAATCTCATGATGCCAGTTCATCTGGAGCTAACCCCTCATCTAAGTCTTTGAAAGTGACAGGTGTAACCGGACAACAGTGAGTTTGTGCAGCATTTGTTATGAAAGTAAAGCTTTTCCAAACGTAACGAGTACAGAAACGCGCAAATGTTAAGTAAAAGGAAGTAAAAGGTTAAAATAACATTAAAGACTTCTGAAAAAATATAGTTTTATAATAAAAAAGCTTGTATTTCTCTGAAAGTGCTGTTAGGCTCGGGGAGAACCGGAGCACCACAAACTAAATCTGGATCGACTCTCAGAACATAATAACCACGCGTTCCACTTATCGATTAGCTTCACATTAAAACAAAACCGTCTCTGGGTTCAAAAGGTAGATTAAAAATACAAAAAGGTGAACAGGTTAACAGCTGGGATGGACCATTGCAGCCCTGTCTCAAAGTGAAACATTCAGTCTAAGGTTTTCCTGTTTTGTAGCATCAGAGTTTAACACACCCATCTCTCTAGTCAAAGAAAATTGGCTGCCAACACGTACAAAGGATTCACAAATTAAAAAAAAAAAACACAAAACAAACCTAAAACTAAAATCTGACCAAGACGCTTAATTGGTCACTGGTTCAAAAACACGACAGGTAGGTAACCTATGGTCGTTCAAACCTTAACTTTTGGACCTTCATAGTAAGTGAATGTAATTTCCGACTAAGAATTGGACAGTGTATTCCTCCTTTAGATGACGGGAGGGTGGAGTGGTGGGCAGGGGGACACGTTTTTCATAGACACTCCGTTGCTAGAATCGGGCATCATCTCCTCGCTGTACAAGCACCCGAAACCGTCGTAGTAGTCGTCGTGCTCGCCCTGGTCGCGTTGGCCCCTCCCCCTGCGTGCCCCTGGCCTCTCTGTCTCCCCGATCTGAGCCGTGTCCAGGATGTAGACAGCGTTTGTGGACAGGGAGAACTCCAGACTGTGGAGGTACTCGTCCACCGTCTCCCTGCAGTGGATCAACTCGCCACTGTCCACCTGAAAACAACACATGTATATTATTAATTGGTTTAATTTATGAAAACTCAAATCGAGCCATAGACAATAATCATAACAAATTTTGTTTCAAGTTATACAATATTTCTCAGTAAATCCCTAGAATATTAAACCCAATCATTTTCATCTTTATTTTTTAATTATTTATTTAATTTTATTTCTTTATTATTATTATTTTTTTTTAGCAATTATTTAAAAGTTATGGACAAAAGCTGAATAAATAAATACAAAAATACAAGTTAAAAGCTATTTGCTGAGATCAGAGGTGTTGGGTCTTCCTCAATGGTTTATTCAGAGAAGAGACATGAAGAACTCATCATTTCTACAGCAAATTATTGTAGAAGTTAAAATTCACTTTTCACATTGTAAAAAAATTATATATTTAGCTGGTATATACAATTATCTGTGGCATGATTGTGTAAACATAGCCCGATTTATAGCGTAATAGCTTTTCTGTTTCCTTAGTGAATCAGATTTGTCAATATTGGACTGATACAGAAGAGATGTACAAAAACCCTTTAAGACCAATACCTATATTGACTACAAAAATTAAATAAGTAGTGCAAATAAATAAATAAATACATACAGAGCCCAAAAATGTTACTGCAAAACATGACAGGCCTCTTACTAGGCTTCAGAGGAGCAACTTGTGTCTTCTCATAATCAGCCAACTTTCTATAGGGCAATATTTAATTCTTTTTACCAATATTGTTAAAAAGAACTGAATGCCATGAAATATCCAAAAGAGACAATGTAATCAATCATGAAACTCGCTACCCCATCACATTGTAGAATATGAAAAGCACCAGTAATAGTTGAAGCTTTGTCCTGACCTGTGCCTTCTTCATCAGATCGTTGCAGATGGAGAACCAGTCGGGGGTGAGCGCCTCCAGCTCCAAAGTGATGATGGCCAAAGCCAACGTGGAGCCCTTGAACTGCCAGAGCTGGTGGCAGGCCATACAGTGCTGCACCTGCCTGGTCCACAGCGCCCCCTGGAGGCCCGAGGGTCTGTTCTGATGGGCCACCCCGGAGCCCAGGCCGATGGACGGGATGAGGAAGGGCTGTCCCGAAACCAGCAGGGCGTGGAACTGAAGAGAGGGAGACAGAAACGCAGGGAAAAATTCAACACGGACCAAAAAACTTTAACATCCTTTTGTCTTGTTAGAACATCTATGTGCAGGGTGGCCACCTAAAGACTTACATTTACTCTGTTCGTCCTGATTGTCTGTAGACTTCATTTGGTCTTGCTCTAGATAAGAGTTAAGTTATGGTTTATTAACAATGCAAGTAAGAAACTGATAAAAGTAATTAGGGTGGGGCAAGTTGTGAAATTTGGAGATGCATATGTGCAAACTTTAACTTCTCAAAATTGTAAGTCTAAATGTTTGAAGTTCTACAGTTTAGAGCCCATTTAGCCTGTATTTTCCTTTTGTTCCAAGCAAAATGGGGCAAAATTAAACTTCCATTAGTCATTTTTCCTTTTCTTTTTTTATCCTGAATTTTCTGAGAACCAGTAAAAATGAAGGATATTCATTGTCCCACCAATTTACATGAAATTTAGAACGGACTAAATGGCTGAGAAGGACAACGTGGTCACCCTATCAACATCCCATAATAGATCTAGTTGTACATCGTTTTTACAGATTCTCGTGCTGCTCGAGTGTCGCAGCTTTGTGTATACTTTGAAAGCAGCGCAGATCTCCCATCATGCCCCTCTCTGCCAGTGGATTCATGGCAACTAGTTCGTATTGTATTGTACGTGCAGTGCTCCTCTGTGGTCCATTATAGGCAGTAACTGTTAGACCTGTTTGAGTGGGGCTGATGTGTTCAAGGACCCGGGATTTTCTTCACAAACTGTCACACTGTTGAAAAGCGTCACATTTTACGGTCCAGTACAGGGATGGTATTCTAATATGACTTCAATGGAAAATTAACCGAGACAAACTAGACTGGAGGCAAATATTTGAATGTGTGCAAACGGACCAAGTAGCCATGTTTTCTGCTAGTTTACAGTCTTCATAATGTATTTCTTTTTTTTTATTTCAGAGTAGTAATGAAGTGCATACAAAATAGTTAGAGGGAAATATTAGCAGATTTTTAAAAGGATTTCACATCAACAAATTAACCCAATACCATTTTTGTATGGAGGGAATTTCTGTTAAGACAATCCATAGTGACAACTCATAGCCAGTACTACCATAACTATTTTGTATCCACTGAATCAAGCCAAGAAAAAAACAAAACAAAAAAAAACAATGGACAATTGTGTTCACCAGACAACAGACCGTGCATTGACAAGAGGCAACAGCAGTGTGACAGCAAGTGAAGAAAACATTTGCTAATCAAAATGCTGAAGTATCGATGATTTTACACATATTACAAAGTTTTGTAGATCATTTTAATTATCTGTGTGGAAAAATAGAAGCTTAGGAGTATATGGGAAGGCAAACTCAAAGCACGTGTTCATTGGACCCCTAGCTGTGTTTCTATCTTCCTACAAATTAAACATTATAATTTAAAGGAATACAATTATTTAGAATAGCATTTACAATCACAGACTCTGCCTTCCCAAAATTTGTTATGAGATCTATTGTTTAAAGCTGTAGTAGTGAGAAGTATTGAAGATTTTATTTTAACCGTTTTACAAAGAATCTTTATCAAGAAAATTTTAAACTAAAGATTGAGGAGAATGTAGACGAGAAAGCACTATATGTATTCATTTTAGAATATTTATTTAAAATGTGATTATTTCAATATTTTAGAGAGGGAAAAAAAGTCTTTATTTTAATATGTTTTTATTGAGACACTGAGTATTTATTTTCAAAGTATTGGATTTTGTAAAGGCTAGGAGTAGTAGTAGATGTAGATGCGTAGTAGTAGATGTAGATGAGTAGAATAGGCATAGGTTTAGTTTTACAGCACTAGAGTTTCATTCAGAGGGAATACAGCAGTAGCGTGGTCATTTTATCTAGAGCGCACCGATTCTTTGTGCCAAGTCTACTTTTGGTGACGATGGTTTGTGGCTTTAAACGTTCTTCCTGCAGGGCAAACATTAAACTAAGGCCTCTCGCTGTACACTTTGTTGCCATGTACTGTATTCTAAAACATCTTTTAAATAAACCCAACGAGAACCCCGTATACCCATTTAACTGACAAATCAGAAATCCAGGTGTTTACCAATGTGCATTTTGTACTAAAATATAAATCAGAATAAAACTAAAAGAGAAAAAGGTGTGCTATAATGTAAGACACATTATGAGAATGCTGGGGAACTGTCCAAATCTGTCCTAAAACCGCTCAATTTGCTTAAAGTTCATATGACAGGTTTTAATGTTTTATAATTATGACTTAGTTTGGTGGTTGCTTTGTGGAAAAAAGTTTAGAAGAAAAATCAAAAACAAAAAAAAAACATTACGTATGATGATAATGAACACCTTTGTCATTTCACAAAATAAAAAAGGCATTACAATTTATTTTCTAAACCATAACTATTGTTCACTTAGTTCTGGCCCTTGTTGGCATTATGGTTGCTAGGTAACAGTTAAAGGATTATCTCCTTTTCTGTTGTCCAAACAGGATGTAAAATTATACTTTAACCTGTCATGTGTGCTTTAAAAACTAGGATTCAGTGAGTGCCAAAATGATGACGTGATGGTTAAATTTCTACTATTTATAAAACAATATGATTTTAAACCCTTATATTTCGCCAGTAAACATCGCCTCCGGTCTGCTTGAGTCATCAGCTTTAGATTCTGGGTCAGCAGAAGTGCCTTGGCCTCATGCGTAACTTCCTCTAATCCTCCTGACCTACAGTTTACAACAGGTCACAATTTACTTTGCCCGGTGTTAATGAGTGACCAGGATAGTTTGACTTTATTATCTATTTATTCATCTTAACGTTGGCTGCAAACATGCTGAACAGCTGCTCTTCATGCCCGGAGGTCTTTGTTAAACTGGCATAAAAATCACTTAAAATGTTAACTTAACCAAGGTTACATGGACTGGCTTTTTACATATGGAACTTAAAATGACTAGAAAATTGAGAACAAGAGAAACGGACACATGCTTCTTGCTTAGTGTAATAAAATTTGTCACCATTTATTTTTAGTTGGTTTACTTTCCGATCTCGCTGTAAATATTGGTACTTTGCAGAGACCATTGTGCTGGGGGCGTTCTATACGTTTATCTATGGCGGAGTGTTCAGCAGATACCATGCTGACACAAAGCACACGCAAACATTACCAAAAAAGTTTCAGAATTGTCTGAAAACTCAAGAAAGGCTTTTGATTTTTCGGAAAAAAGATGAGCAACGAATAGGGATGCAACAATATCCAAATCTCTCGGTACGATATTTTCACGATATACATCTCACGGTATGATATTTATTGCGATATTTTGTGGAGGCTTGCAAACAAAACTGTTAATGTGCTACTTTTTCAAGACTGAATCCAACGAACTAAGACTTAAAAGTGCTTAAAACTGTTATTTCTTCTTGTAGTCTGCACTGAAATGGAGCAAAGGATCATGGTCTAAATAGTTCCCTCTGTCTTTTTTTAGCTAATGCTGCACCATAACTCTTAATTTAAGCAAAGAGACTTGTAATTCGATATATTTTGATGGTCCAAGATATTATTGTGAGAGATGATACCATATCACGATATTTTGGTTATTGTTACATCCCTAGTAACTAACTTAAAAACTGTTTGCTCACCTGTTGTAGTTCCACCTGTTAGTCATTTTGTACCAAGTCTATTCTTTCCGGTCAAATTGTGTCAAAACGAAGCTCAGATTTAAATCTAACTTAAGTAACAGAGCTTCAGACAGAGCAGTGCCCAAAGTTAGCGTCACACCCCCAAGAAATGTTGACAACAGCAGCTGCAAAGTATCAATATAAGGCGACGTGGCAAAGTGTGTTGACTCAATACTGAAATGACCTAAAAACTTCGACAAAAAGCAAATGTTTATCTTCTTTAAAGTCGTTTCAGTTACTTCACTGACAGTTTGAGGTTATGCGTATCAGGGCTGTATACTTAAAGGGTGGGGTGCTCTAAAGGGGATACAGATGTATGTTATAGAAAAAGACACAATAGATTTAAAGTGCACAATGTTTAAAAGGACCAACTGTGATCTGAAATGCTGGCTACAGTTTTGGTTGTTGTGGTTCGTGTACCCCTGAGGAAATGGCATGTCACGTGTGCTTTTTGTATCACTTACTTTTTCAAGTGCAGGGCCTTCAACTGTCAATGTGTAAATGCCTGAGATGTTTGTGCAGCGAGAAAACAAATGCATCCATGTACAAAACTATACGGCATTTTAAAACTTGGTCTTGCTTGAATAAAATCAATATTGCTGGTTTTAAAACTGATCTTTCATAGTTTAAATTTGTGTGTTTGGCCTATTTATTGAAGTATTAACTGCCAACAGCCTGACAAAATAGAAATCTGGATCGGTATAAAATTTGTACTTTTCTAAAAACTTTATATTTGTAGTCAATATATGGAAATTTTTCTGCCAAAATTCTACCAAGACCATTATTTTTCTTCATCCACAGGTTTCAGATTGATGAAAAATATGCAGTTACCATTGAAATTAATTATGCAAAACCAAATAACCCATATTTTGATAATTTTTTGGTGTAAAAAATAAATAAATACTACAAACTGGAGGCTGAAACCAATACACAATATCTGAGCCTGACCCAATGAATCTACCCTCTTATTTTGTAACCAGAATTTACACAAAAATGCAAAATGCTTTGACAGTTGGAGGCCCCTCTTCCCTTTCGCATCGCTTGCCCGTTTGTCTGAACTTACGATGTGAATGAAGTCCACTGGTGTGGCGGTGTACAGGTCCCAGTGCAGTTTGTCCAGAATGATGCGCTCCATGCGAAGGATCTCTGCTGTGGAGAAGCTGCAGCCGCTCAGCACAACCAGGTCCTTCACACAGCCAATGACCTGTTTATGAGACCACGAGGAAATATAAAAGTAAATAAATATGGTTTTCAAATAGCTCCGTGTGGCGTGTTTTATGTCGTGGGGAGCTTTTGGATCGCACCTCATCTTCCTCGTTAATTTTGGCAGCCAGGATCAGAGAGGTGAACGCCATGCACTTCAGGTATTTTGGCTGGGCCTGACGAAAGACAAAGACATATTTAGACTCAGATAAAAATACAATATAAAGCTATTTTTTGGCTTAAAGCAAACTTATTATGCAAAATTGACTAGTAACCATGTTCTGGAATGTTTCACAGTATGGTATTAAACCTTTTCTATCTTCATGGAGACCAAACTGTTCTGTTTTTCTTGTTTTATTTGAATTATAAAACCACCTGTAAGTGAGTGCATGTGAAGTAGAGCGGCTTAATGTCAAACTGTGCAACATTCCAGAACAGAGCAATGACATATTTATAGAAACAAGCAGGTGACCAAAAAATTACATAGTGCACCTTTAACTTCAACTTAAAAAAAATTTAAAATTAAAAATCCTAGATAGTGCTCGCTAATGTGACATGCAGTTATCCATTGGTCAGAAGTCTTTGCAACGTCTAGGAACAGAAGAGTTGGTTTAGTTTCATAACAGCGTCATGGTGCCTTGGGGTGAAATCGTAACCTATTTTTTTGACAAGGTAATTTACTGCTGCACCTGAATCTTGCATACTTGAAATTAAAGTCGGAATTTCCCCTTGACCTGCTCAAACTTTTTTTTTAATAACATTTTTACAACTTTTTATTGATAGGATATTATATGAAATGGTAAATTGCTCATAAAAGAACAAGAACTAAGACCTAACTACTGAATGTTCAATGCGCTTCTAATTATTCCGTGTACTGTTAAAAAGTACACAGATTTTTCTTTTATTAAGCAAATATATATCTTGCTTGTTTTTTTGTGTTTGTTTTTTTTTATGTTTTTGTTGGTTAAAAATACTTTCAAAACATGTCTTAGTGTGTGAGTCTAGTTTCCTTTCCAGAGATCTGACTTGTAACTTAGCCTGGCTGAGCTTAATGCCATACTGAGGAATGTTTTCGACGGAACATTCTGGGTAAAGCAATGACATCCCTGGAGACAAAGTAGGATATGTGCACAGTGCATCTTTAAAACTGTAAAATAAGATGCAAACAACTTAAAAATATTCATTATGCAAATGTATTTCCTTCCTTGTCCTTCACACGAGCTTTACTAAATCTGTTCAGCTGATAAAGTTGGCAGGCTATACTTGCAGATGTTCTAAAGCGTGGAAAACAACTCAAGGTTAAACTTGGTAAATGATTATACGAGCAGTCAGGCCATAGAGGTTATCAGTTGTCTGTTTCTGATTGTTGGTCAAACATTTCGTTTGACAAAACAGCACTGAAATCTAAACTGTGACTAATGACATATTGGCCACATAAACCAACATCTAGTCTTATCATGGTCAACACATTAGTTTTTTACCAGGTTGTTCAGATATTGTTCAGGTATAGCTCAAGACCATTCTAAACATATTCAGAAAAAGGTTAATTTACAGTGGTACCTTGACAGTGGACAGCATGCGGTGGAGGATGCACACGCCCAAAGCGAAGGTCTCGGGGCAGAAGCGGAAGCAGCGGCTCATCTCCCCGACCCATCGGATCACCTCCTGGTGCTGGGCTGAAGAGGTGTCAGTGCCCTGTGGGACAGAGGGGTGGACCTTTATCACTCCATGTTCAGAGAACTCAAATTTGTTTAATAATGGACCATTCTTGAGGATCTCAAATCAAAATACTCCATTAAAAAGAATTATTGATTTTGCAACAATTTTCATGCAATTACTATAGCTTTAGCATAACATCATTAGACCAACATCGCCTCTACAAATTCTATGGGCAACAATCTATGGGAATAGTTGCCACTTTTCCACCCAAAAAGCATGTTAAATATCTGTTCTCTGTAATACTGCTGAGAATTTAAATCTCAGTTCTGTTCCAAGTTTGAGCAAGAATTGGAGTGGTTTCAATCCTACCAGCACCTGTCCTAGTGTTCTGCAAAATAAAATCAAGACTGTAGTATAGAAACTAAGTTTTCTTCTACTGGGTATCCCCAGGTTTGACTACCTCAAATTTAAGATTTTTTTAAGAGCTTTTTAAGACCACTTAAATGAAAATTAAGACCAACATTGCACCCATTATGCGGGCGAAAAACACCAGATCCAATTCGAATAATGACCAACCAACTACTGCATCTAGAATTTAAGAGCCACTGTGGATTAAACAGACACTTCCCCGTGATCCATCCAGTGTCTTCCTCCACTATACTGGTTGTTTACTCATTGCCGTCAGTGCCAGAAACCAAAATATTGTTTGCACATACTCCAAATTAGACGTTCATTCACATTACATGATTGCACGTTGTTGTTGTTGTTTTTTTCCCTGTTTATCATTGCACTGCAGCCTGGTTGAGTTTAAAAAAAAAAAAAAACAGGCTAATGAAATTTAAAGACCTTTGTGAAAAAATAAGACTTGGACAACAAAATTTAAGACTTTTTAAGACCTTAATTTAGGAACATGAAATTTAAGACCTTTTTAAGACTTTTAATACCCCACAGCTAACAAATTTTCTATATAGGACAAAATGAACATTCTAAATGAAACACTGTAGTAGGTCTGTCATGATCACTATTATATCAACTTATCATTCAATATATGATAGATTGAACAATAATCTTTCCTCGGTCAGTATTTATTGTGCCTTTCCTTGCACTTGTGGAACATTTTTGGTTATTTTTCTGGCAATACAATGAGAGTTGAGTCATAAAAGTTATTGTGTCGGTGGCATATAGTAGTTTATCTTCTATATTTATCTCATTTATGATTTATTTATGGTATTAAAGTGAAACATTATACAATCCTTCACTTGTCCTTAGCAAATGGCCTACAAATCTTTCCACACCATGTACCATCAAGATTATTATCGGGTGTGATTTAGTGTTAAACAAGATCTCAAATGTAGAGCAGCTGCACAGACCTGGATGAGCCCGTTCTTGTAGACTGGGACCTTCCAGAGGCGAGCTTCCCGGTGCAGGGCAGCCTCCAGAAGAGTCAGGAGGCGCCGGTTCTCCACAGGACCAGGGAACTTCATCACCTCCACAGCACAGGCCAGGCTGCACCCAGGGCACGCACACCTGACAACAGCAACATCAGGCATCAGGATTCAGCAATAAAAAACACAACATTACACTTTCATTTCACTGGGGTTTAGTCACTTCAGTGGCACTGAAACACTGTGTGGGTTTAAGTTTGAGCAGGCTTCCTTCTGCTTTTGTGGCATTTATATCTCTACAGTTTACTTCCATTTTACTGAGGTGATGGTGTTGTCATGATACTAAATACTAAAATTTCAAACTTGATTTCAATACTAAAGATTTTGATAAGAAAGGAAGAAGAAAGGAAAGACAATTTTGCAAAAAGTACAGTCATTTTACCAATTTCCCCACTGTTGGACAAATACTTTCTTAATTTTATTTTTTATATTGTCTCTTGCATCTAAATGTGATAAACAGTCTCCGCCTTAGACACATCCACTGTAAATTTGTTTATTAAAGCCTGCCTCATTTGTCACGGTGAATGTTACATAAAGATTTGACTTTAGTTTGCTTTTCCTACAGCTGAGAATCAGGTGTGTTGCTCTCAGCTACACCTATTCTGTTGACAAAAACAGGCACCATTGCATAACTTCTGGATTGGCATTTGTTCAGGGAAGTTATTGATGATACAGCATGACTACTTCTATTTAAATGGGCGAGCACCTGACATTCCACATTACATGGAATGTAGGTAGTTCCCTGGTAGGTTATAATGCTTTTTCTTTCTTTTTCAAATGAGGAAACTGCCAATGAAACTGGTAAAATATCTTACATTATAGGAGTGTTAAAAGATTTTACTAGCCATTTTATGGTTTCTATTGGATGAAATAAAACTTAAAAGTGTATATTATTTTATATACACTACCAGTAAAAAAGTGTGGACAAACCATCTCATTTAATGTTTTTTTTTTCTTATTTTTTTACCACTTTCTACATTTTGTATACATACAGAAGACATCGAATATATGAAGGAAGATATATACAGAATTAGGTAGCACAGATTTTTTTCCCCTTGAAATATTTTGACCAAACAAAGGAAAGCAAAGTTAAAGAACTGTTTTTTAAATACATTTTATACTCAAATTCTAACTTTTGACTGGAATTGTTGTTTAAACAATGTTTAAACAACACCTTCTGTGTTCAGTGTTTTCTACAGAAGAGACCAAACATAGGAAGGAATATATATGGAATTAGGTAGTACAGATTTTTCCTCCCAAAATATTTTTGACCAAGCAAAGCTACTTTGAGGATCTGAAATTTTTTTTACATATATTTAACTCTTTTTACTTTGCTACTTAATTCCATATATCTTACTTCAACATTGTTATGCTTTCTGTACATACAGAAAATGTAGAAAGTAGTAAAATAATAATAATAATATTAATAATGGGAAAAATAGGACGGTGTGCCCAAACTTTTGACTGATAGTGCAAGTCAATAAAGAAAAGTAATTTCTACTGCAATCAGTGTAGTACTGTTGTTAGAGATAATTGTAATAAAACCGTAACATTACATCAGCAGACCCATAGTACAACTGCTTACATGCATAACCATTTTACTGTACACATTTTCACTGTAAAACACAACTTTACTTCCAGCTCACACTTAAAATAGAAATGCGCATTCCCTCAACAGAGCAGACAGAACCATTGTTCAAGAGGAAGCAGCTAGCCTTTCAAGACAGTCTGGCTGTGGCAGGATGCGTGCAAAAACTGCGTCATACACCATCAAAAACACAATATCTTCTACACAGACTTCCCAAAGAGAACCCCAAACGCCTTCTTCGCCATTTATAAGGGTTTAAACCAGGTCACCCCTGAATAAGGCTTCCTTTTCTAGCTGCCAAAAACTAACAGGGGGCAAATTGGGCAGCTATGTGGGCTATGCTGTCAACTATGCAGCAGGAAACAGGCGGAAAATTCCTCAGGCTCATCAATAACGACATTTTAAGATTTTTAGTCGATCCAGAAAGTAAAAATAATGTTTAAATATTAAGTTCATAGTTAAAACATCAAACATTGAGAGTGGATAGTTTAAAAAAAGCGATCCGAGTCCAAGAAGGCGCAGGCGGGATAATTAGCCGCAGCTGCTCTAGGCTCTTGGACAATACATATATTTTCCCCATTTTTTGCCCTCGCGTTTCGAATCTTACCTCTTCGATGTCAAAAGCCGAGTATCTCATCGACGGTAGGCGCATTTATACGGCTTTTATTCGTCCATTTTCACCGAAAGCAGCGAGCAAACAAATACGGGGAGGATGTCAGAAGAGAAAGCGAAGAGGGGGATTTGGGTGTTACGCGGTGCAAAAACAGAAATCAGCCGCATTATATTGGAATTAATAAGTGATCAAAAACTAAAAAGGCTCTAAGAAATTCAAATCATCGAAAAGTGGGTAAAAATAAGCGCAAAAATGGACGGGAGAGGAGAAATAAGAAAGGGATTGAGGGCAGGCTCTGTTTTGAACGCCAGGACGCCGCCCCCTCAGTGACGTCATGACGTTTTTTCTAATAAAATGTGTTACTGGGTCAAGCATACGGGCCCCTTCCTACAAAATGGTCGGACTTTAGCTGGAAATGGAAGATTACAAGATGGGGTGCCTCGAATTGTGCATTTTCTGCTTTTCTGCCTTTGCAATACAGTTGTTTGGATCAGATCTGCCGAGTTATTTGCACCCACAAACTCCTCCCACACAGCTGCCCATCCCCCAACGCAAAATAGTGATGTAATTGTGATCTGATTATTGCGTTTTTAGAAATGTAAACGCATCAAAGTCACATAAAACAAGCTACTTAACTTTCAAGTAACATGTTTTAGCATATTGCAGCGTTAAAACTTACCAAATCTTAAATCTGACCAAAGCAGAGACCTACTGAAAACTATGGGAGCTATTTGTGAAGGACACTTTGACATTGAGCCAGCCCAAGTCAGACCTAAAGCTGTAGGCCTGTATAGTAGCAGTAGTAGTAGTAGTAGTAGTAGTAGTAGTAGTAGTAGTAGTAGTAGTAGTAGTAGTAGTAGTAGTAGTAGTAGTAGTAGTAGTCATTTGTAGTGTCATTTTGCAGCACTACAAAACAAGACAAAACAAAACAGGCTACAACCCCATGGATCATGACCAAAAAGGTTTAGGCTGAAGTAAAAGGTATAATGCCTACCCCTATTAAACAATGATTAAACAATTCCTAGAAAAAACAACATATAAACAGCAAGTTAACATTTACAATTTCATTTACTGTATATATAAGAGACAAAATATAGATATAAACTTGGATCTAGTGCCATACACATCTCAATTAACTTATACTTTTAAAAAATATTTTTTATAATTACGATTTATTGTATTTCATATTATAATCCTCTTCGATTTTACATTTTATTACTTATTTTTCTATTTTACTTTGACTTGTACATGTACATTTACATATTATGTCTTATTTGACACCTGTCTCTTGTCATCTTTTTTGCTACTTATTTAGAATTTATTATTATCATTTATATTTTTTACATTTTGTTATAATAATATATTGTAATGTGTGAGCTACTGTGTCCAAATAATTTCCCTTGTGGATCATTAAACTTTGTCTAAGTCTATCCTTTTTTTACACATAAGTTATGAAATTGACCTATTTATTTTGTTGTTTATTTGAATAGTGGCAGATCAGAGGTGGAAAGTAACAAAATAAAAGTAGTGAAGTGCCGTACTTAAGTATACATTTTGGGTATATGTAGGCCTACAGTATCGATCTATATCAAAATTACAACATTTCATTTGAAGAAGCCTCATTAAATCTGTAAATCTGCTCAAAATACTTACTTTTTTCTCTTTAAGCACAATTTTAAATAGGTGCTTTTATGTGACACTTTAAATTTTCTTTGAGTTTTGTTTTGTCTTTTGTTGTTTTTTTGCTCCGGGATCTGTACTTTTACTTGAGTAACAAAACTGAGTACAAATACAGATACAACCAACATAGATTAACACTATATGCAGGTGTCACAGTGTTTATAGCCTAGGCTAATTTGCAACACCAGTCCCCAGAAGGGCTTTGAACTGTTCAGATTTCACTAAAAAGCAATGGGATTATTGGTAGAAAAAGCAATAAACAGGGAATTTGTCCGAAGAATCAAATATCAAAATATTGCACTTGTACACGCACATTTCAGTGTTTCTCCCCCCGTCTCTCCCCCCTGCCCTCCCACGCTCTCTAATAGTCTACACTGTTGTTATTATTAGGGATGCACCAATCCAGCTTTTTCAGTTCCAATACCCATTTCATTACTACCAGAGACTGAAAACAGCATTTATTTCTTTTAAATTATAATAAAATAAAACAATACTGATCTAAATGTGGTATGTATGTAGCTTATTTATCCCTCAAGAAACTACAGATCAGCTTTGTATAAATAAACGTTCAAACATTATGAGGCTTTCTAGACCAACGATGACCAGTAAATACAACAACTTCATCAAGCACTTACATCAGTTTATATGTTTTGAAACCAATATTCTGTCCAGCATATTCATATTTGTTTCAGTATCGATGGCAATATCCAATACCAGTATCAGATCAGGGGATTCTTAGTTATTATTCGCTGAAATGTGTTGCAGTTGGAGAAGAAGAACCTGATGAATATTTAGTCACGTTTATAAGCTACAAGGAATAAAAATCAGAAACCCTTGTCATTGTAAATACCGTATTTTTTTTTTCATGGTTTGGTTTCTTTCCAGCGACTTATACTGCAACTGATATATTAAAATTTTCACACTGACAGTCGTGAGAGGAAGCTATAGGCTTGTGTGTCAGTATCTGCTACTCCTGCACTGTTATCACATCATGCCCTACTGCACATATCTGCTGCAGAAAAAGCCACTGACCTGCTGCAAGTAGTGAAATATGCAGTCGAAAACGGTAAAAGAGCAGCAGAAAGAAAGTTTGGAGAGAGCGAGAAACTTGTGAGGGACTGGCAGAAAACGGAGATGGCGAACACAGCTTCACGGCAACTGGGAGGAATGCACCATGCAACTTTCCTGGAAGTCACTGGATGGATGGACAAAGTCTGGACCTGACAACAGAAACCATCCTGGAGGGATTCAGAAAGGCTGGAATAATTCTAACTGGAACTGATGCTGAGTCTGATGACAGCTACACAGAAGAGGAAGCAGCGCTCCATTTACCCATGGATTTAGGTTTACCTCCGGAGGTTGCGAAGTTGCTCAGAAATGACACAGAGGATGAAGAATTCAATGGGTTTAGTGATGTGGAGTGAGATGGAGAGTTTGGTAAACTTGTTCTGTTCTGTTGTTTATGTTATAGTTATCAGAAGAACTGTTCATATGTAACATTAACAGTCTGTTGTTCTCTTTTCTATTGTTATTACAATAACTTGCCTTTCAAGATGAAATGTCGGTTCCTGGTTTCTGACGATAAAATAAATTTCCCCCAAAAAGTGCAACTTATAGTCCGGAACAACTTATATATGTTTTTTTTTTCTTCTTCATTAAACATTTTTAGCTGGTGCAACTTATACTCTGGAGCGACTTATAGTCCGAAAAATATGGTATTATTGTTTTAATGGCCAAATGTCCTTTTAAAGTCATAATATTGGATTCATATTTAGACCGAAGTTGTTTTGGCTGTTTTTTTTTTTTTTTTTTTTTTTTTAATGACAAACAGCAAAAGGTGATTCTACCCCGTAACACAATGTCACAGTGCTCTGTCGACTGAGCTATGATGCAACTTTTTGAAATTGACATCTTCAGAAAAAATAGCCTGCATGAAACATAATAGGCTTACTTTGAAATCTAACTGCAAACACTGTAAAGTTATAGGCCCATGAACATTTGTGACCTGTGACCTGCTTATTCAGATTTCTTATCTGTGTGACCTCTGTCGAAAAGGCAATGCCTGGTTATTCACTATCTGAATTATATAATACACTGGTGAAGACTCAGTTAAATCACTTTCTAAATAGACCTATAGCTAATGCAGCCAAATGTCTCTGGGAGTGTTGAAAAGCTGCTACCTCATGTTACACCATCAAAAAGGCCTTACTTTGCATTTATTGGTCTGTTTAGAGTCCCTAGAAGGTCGTACACAAGTGCGCTCTGATAAGTACTGCTCTGTACATGCTGTTCGGTAAATGACTAAGCCACCACAGGGAGTCGTCTCATCTTTTAGGTCATATAAGATAATTATAGCCTATGCAGATTATACTACGTTCTGTCTATATGTGGCTGCGTTCACACTTGCCTTGGTCTGGACCTGGTTTGCGTCCTAATGTAGATTTGGTTCTGGTTCTGTTCTGGTTTAATTTGACTTAGCTTCAAGGGTACATGCAAAAGACAAACAAATCTATACACAAAACATCGGCCTAGATCATTTCACAATCATGTCATTTTTATCTCAGTATACGGCCCACTGACTGCAGTAACTTCCTTGTATAGTGTGCGCGGCAGTTTCTTTGGTACAGCTTTCAAAGAATAAAAATATTTGCACAGACCATAAATTAAAGTGTTGTGTCCTTGCACTATGTTGACAAGGCACCCACCTTCAAACACTGGGCTTTCCTGCTTAGACTGCATGACTGGGCCTTGGATAAATAATAATTTATGAACTGTTCTTCAAAGCCATAATAATTAGGCATGCACTGATACTGATACTGGTATTGATCCAGGACATTTTTCTGGATCGGGTATGAGTCTCATGATGTAGGTTCAGCCAATAAACAGTTATACTTCTGAGGCAAAGCTCCATTACATACTTAACTTACTTTCAATACTCAAATGAACTAGTAATAATACAGGTCAGCATTAAATCATTAACCCCCCCCCCCCCCCCCACACACACACACACACATAATGTCCACACTGTCAACAGCCCCTGTCACCTTTGTCCTTATTTGTATGTAATCTTCAGTCGTAATGTTTGTCTTGTATCTTGTATGTTGTTTGATCCCTATATTTTATAATGTATGTAGTTTGCAAATAAAATTATAAAAATAAATAAATAAATAAGACTATGTACTGGCTGATGTAGCTTGTGGACCTCTCATAATGCTTGAACTTTTAATCATAAAAAGTTGTGTTTAGTTGCTTGTAAGATAATAACAACCACATAGCACAACTGGATTCATTTTGTAATAAGTTAACAGTATTTTTTGGGGAGAAAAAAGGCCATTCTCAGTTCATACACAGGGATCAGTTAACATCGGGCATCGGCAGATATTAAGACAAAGTATTGACATTGGTATCGAAGCTGGAAAAGCTGGATTGGTGCATCCCTAATAACTACAACAACAATAATAATACAGATTACATAAAATTCAACAAAATCTTAGTGCACTCCTTCCTAAATTGTTTAAGATATGGGCCCAAAAATTAATGATTTTTATTTTTATTTTTTTGGTGGGGGATGAAGTACTCAATTTTGTTACTTAAGTAAAAGTACAGATATCGGAGCAAAGAAATGCTCAAGTAAAAGTATCACATGAAAAAAT